CCCCCCCCCCCCCACTTTCTCTGTCCCTCCATCTATCCACCCTCCTGTCTCTGCATGTCTCCTTTACAGGGTTTGGCTCATTTGTGGAGAAAACTGTGATGCCGTACATTAGTACGACCCCGGCTAAGCTCAGGAACCCCTGCACAAGTGAACAGAACTGCACCAGCCCATTTAGCTACAAAAATGTGCTCAGTCTAACTGATAAAGGGGAAGTTTTTAATGAACTTGTTGGTAAACAGCGTATATCTGGAAATTTGGATTCTCCAGAAGGCGGTTTTGATGCAATCATGCAAGTTGCGGTTTGTGGAGTAAGTGCATTCATTTCCTACAAAGTAATAGTGATGTGAACTTTTAAGTTTGATTTTACTCTCAGTTAAAGAAAACTACCTTATCATACCTGATTATCCCAAAGAAGTACAGAATTTAATCACTCAAATTCCCTCCATCTACAAGTGCTTTTTAAAAGCATATTTAATCAGTATGTCCCTATTTAAACCAGGCACCTAGTTCATTTATATGGGGTTTTGAAAACCAGAATGCTCACCATTTGTAACAGTGGGGCAAGTTAGCTGTATGTTAGCTGGTATTCTAGGCTTTTAGAGGAGGTCAGGTTTCCTGCCGTTCTGGCTCGTGCCAGCAGTGGAAGGGAGGTCATCTGAGGCATCAGCAGGAGCTAACAGGGCTCAAGCACAATACCATTTTCCTCTGGCCATCTTCTCATCGTGTGTGAGATGACTTTCCTCATGTCTTAGTAATTAAAACAAAAAAAACTTTTGAAGTCCTACCTTGTAAGCTGTCTGAGAACATTTATTTTGAGAAGTGATATACTATTTGTAATTTTAATTGCAAGATTTTTGGCAGTAGAAGCTCATGTCCATTGGACTAGTAATTAGAATTTATGACCCGTTTACCAGCTGAAGATTCTGAGATGACCTTTTAATGATGTAGCTGAAGCTGAACTTGCAAACATTTTGAGGTAGATAAAGTTTGTCTTAAGAACTTACTACTGTCACATGTATCCCCCTTTTTTCCTTATAGTACCCCGATTCCCTAGAAGACCTTGATTCCAGTTGCTTCCTAATGGTTATCTTTCTACCAATTTCTGCTAAGGTGCTTATGTCCAAGGTGATAATATGGAATAGTGGTTAAGAGAACGGTCTTCAGACTTGCCGATCAGCACTGATTTTAGGTGTTTACTTACCTCTCTAAAGGACTGTTTACTCCATAAGGAGGGATAATAATAGATATACCTCATATGGCTATTTTAAGTCTAAATACAGTAATCCATATAAAATGCCAGTAAACAGTCGAATACTAGCTACTATATTCTTTTTGCTTTGATTTCTCTTGGAGTGGAATGTAAGGGTAGTCTTCTGCTTTTAAAGGGGAGGAAAGATTAATCCAGGCTGTGCCGAGCCTGACACCCCTTTTCTTTCCAGCAATTCATTTGTGATCCTGTTAGCAGCTCACTGGGGAGAAGTCGTTCTCTGGGCTGTCTCTGTAACTGTGCTGCAGCCTGTGGGCTTCAGACGAGCCGTAGCATCCAGGCCTTACTGTCCTGCGTTTGTTGTGCTGACTGGGAGCAGCTTCTCCACCTACTTCTCTAGATGCAAAAACTTGAATTGCCAGCATCAGTAAACTTAATTCCTGCCTTCAAGGGATTTACAGTCATTTGAGGATATTTACAGATGTATTTAGTAAACCTAGGCCTATATTATTAAAAATTACCTTAGAGAGAAGAGGATTTTACTACTTTAAACTCTTGGTTGAATAAGGTGGAGAATAAAATAAATGAACAAATAAACATTACTGATGACATAGAATGAGTAGAAATTAAGCAAGGCAAGTCTTTGGAGAAGATGCTTTTTTTCTGTAGTTAAAAAAAGGCAGGCCTAACATGGAGGACTGGTAAGGAAGTATATGCTGAAGAAAACAGCAGGGATGGGAATGGGATGGCAGCAGCAGGATAAAATAAGGTACGGCTGAGACATTTTTATGTGCTCAGGAAATACTCATTAAGCACCTACTGTGTGTAGGCACAGTGCAGCTGCTGCCGATATGATGATAACCAAAATCAGGTGTGGTCCCTGCCCCACGTAGGTTTGCTTACCTTCTAGTGGGAGAGAGAGACAATGATTTCAAAAGATAGTTTTTTTAAAAGAGCTAAGAGAAATGGACAGCCAGGCAAGATACAGTTACAGTGGGCGGAGGAACCTCATCCAGCTGGCTCTGTGTGTTTATCAGCAAGAATATTGGCATTGTGAAAAGAGTAAAGAGAAGCTACGGAATTAGGTCTAAAGCATAGCAGTGGCCTATATGAAGATTAAAAGATTAGGTTGAATTACTGTGAGTAGTATTCTAAAACTGAAATCCTTTTCAAGTCATTGATTGGCTGGAGGAATGTCACACGGCTGCTGGTGTTTTCCACGGATGCTGGGTTTCACTTCGCTGGAGATGGGAAACTTGGTGGCATTGTTTTGCCAAATGATGGACAGTGTCACCTGGAAAATGACGTGTACACAATGAGCCATTATTACGTAAGTGCTGAATTCCTTTCATATTGAAAGGACTCCTATTGAAAATTCAGTATTGAAGGTGACTGGCTTGTGGGTTTTTCAGGCTTGGTGTTTTGCTATTTTGGTAAGTATGGGCCCTAACCTAATGTGTAGGAGAGCTGGTCTCACTGTTTGTGAAGATGTGGCTGCTTGCTTCTTACTTCTGCTTAGACAGGGCCTCAGTCAGGTGGAATGCCCTCAGACACCTGCTCCATGTCTCACCCCAGAGCTGTGTACCCTCTTATTCGTTACACTGTTTGGTAGTAATTGTGATACTATTTCTAAATAAATGTTTGTATAATCTTAGCACTTCTCATGTTATTCATAGGGGATTTTTAAAAGGAGGCACCCTGCCTCTACTTAAAGTAAATATTGGCAAATTATTCAAGTTCTGAAGAAATCTGAACCTTGGTGATTCTTGATCATTTTCTTCAGTGATACATAATACAACCTTTAATTACTGGAAATTCTTTAATTTTTTTTGACATTTAATATACAAAGATCTTTTTTAAACTTTTTTATTATGGAAATTTGTATACATAAAGAATAAAAAAGGATTAGAAAGCGACATGTACACACCACTCGAGTATTTATTTGTGTTATTTCAAGTGATCTTGTATTAAGCAACCCAGTTGTATACATAATTGTTATTAATTACAAGAAGTATTGCGAAACTGGAAGAGAGAGGGAGTAATTACATAATTTTACTACTTATTTTCTTAGGATTATCCTTCTATTGCTCACCTTGTCCAGAAACTAAGTGAAAATAACATTCAGACGATTTTTGCAGTGACTGAAGAATTTCAGCCTGTTTACAAGGTAAATACATATGTGTGAGATAAAAGGAGCAAATTCTGGACCATTTTTGTTTAGTCATTAAAGGCAAAATCATATGTCAGAATTGAAATGTAAAAAAATGTCATCAGTCAGGCACACTGACTGGATTTTACAGAAACAATATTAATTTTTAATCACATATTATAAAACATTTTTTATTTTAAGTCTGACCCTTAAGTTATTTAGGAAATGTATAAGGAACTGTTATTTAAAAATAAGTATTAGGGTCTCAGTAGATGCTAATTAATCAAATGAATAGTTTTTGTATTTCATATGTTTTATCTTTGAATTGCAGGAACTGAAAAATTTAATCCCTAAGTCAGCAGTAGGAACATTATCAGCAAATTCCAGCAATGTTATTCAGTTGATCATTGATGCATACAATGTGAGTACATTTTAAATAAAACCTGTTTTAAACAATATCGTCTTGAGAATACTTTGCTCAAAGGAAGGTAAACTCCCTTAATAAGCAATTTAGCAAACCCAGAGGACAACGTAAAACTTAAATTCTTTATATCCAGAGGAAAAACTCATATCCTCTTATAAAAGCAGTTATTTACATAACCTAGACAAAGCAAAAATATGATAAAGACATATGGGGAAAATTTCTAAATATCTGTTTGAGTGTCATTAAGCAATAGGTCTCATTGTTCGAAGGCAATCGTGAAGTAGAACTTAAATTTAAACTTATAGGATTGCCTCAGTCTTCTTTTGCCTCTCCAAGGTATCCTTTGTAGATTTGTCTGTTTTAATGAATTATGCTGAAAAAGCTTTTTTGCCAATTCTTCTCTTGCTGTAATTCAGAGAACATAGTTCTCAATTCTCAGGAATAGAATACACACAACTCGTATATACATGTACTGAATATATACAAATGTAAATATATGTGACTTACATATTTTAAAAAGATGTTTTTCCCCCACACATGAAATTGAATCTAACTGAAAGAGGAATTGTTTTTTTCATCTAGCTTATTAATTCAGAGTATCTCTAGTGATACTTACAAAGCACTGGCAAATCATTATAAATAAGCTGAAGGCATTTGTAATATTGTGGTGACCATTATGTGCTGCATACACCACCTCCATCTTAATGACAGGTTGAATTTTAGATATTTTTACCTCATGACAGCTTGTTTTGGAGAGAGGTTTTATAAAGATTCCCATGTACCATGTCTTTCCCATAGCTGTTCTCTGTCTTATAGAATCTTTTAATGCTCCCCTAACTCCTGTCCATCAGGGGTGTGAGCAAGAGATCGCTGGCGCTACAGCCTTCCCTTCTGTGTTTGTCCTGACAGTCTGGTATTCCCAAGGCACTGGCTTGAATCCTTTCTACTTGGGGTTTTATTTTTTGGCCAGTGCTGTACTGGATTTGTTTCCAGACTATAGATTGTTTACCTTAGGCCCTAGTTATCTGGCAGTGGGAGGGAAAGAAGAGCCGGGCTGCCAATGGGGAGATAAACTCGTTGATATCATGCCTCTGTGCTGTTGGATCATTAATATTTTAGCTCAGTAATTAAAACACAAATACTCTTTCCAATTGTGTACATTATTTTGAAGAATTGATCCTTATTAATTAGAGCCTGTTTCTCTGGGTTCTGTGTTTTCCGGTCAACTCAGGATTTGGCTTCAAATGTTTAATTTAATTAGTGCCTTCTTAACAGTCCATTCAGCTTATTTTGTGTAGCGTGTTGTTTGCCTTTCCTGTGTCTAATAGTCTGTCTTTTAGTCCCTTTCCTCAGAAGTCATTTTGGAAAACAGCAAATTGCCAGAAGGAGTAACAATAAACTACAAATCTTACTGCAAGAATGGAGTGAACGGAACTGGAGAAAATGGGAGAAAATGCTCCAATATTTCCATTGGAGATGAGGTATGTTGTATAAACATTTTCTGAGGAAAAGAAAAAATATCGCTTGTTTATAGGCAATCTAATTTATAATTTGAGAGACAGTAAAAGAAATGAGTAGCTTTTGAAATATTTTTTAGCAGCTTTAAATTGCTTAGTTAGTTGTTAACTTAATCTGTTTTTTTGCCTTCAAGGTTCAGTTTGAAATTAGCATAACTTCAAACAAATGTCCGAATAAGAATTCTGAAACCATTAAAATTAAGCCTTTGGGCTTCACTGAAGAGGTAGAGATCATTCTTCAGTTCATCTGTGAGTGTGAGTGCCAAAGCGAAGGCATCCCCAGCAGTCCGAGGTGCCACGAGGGAAACGGGACCTTCGAGTGTGGAGCTTGCAGGTGAGCCTCTAGTCTTTCCAGAAGGACAGGGAGAGGCAGATTGGCTGAGGAGGTAATAGGCTACATTTTGAGGCATCCAGAGAAAATCTCTCTATTTAGAGCAGATGAATTGTTTGTTCCAACCGTTGTTGCCCATCACAAGATCCATTTGGTGATCTTGTGTGTGATATTTATAGAAAGTTCTTCCCTGCCTTTTTTTCTTTAGAAGAGTGCTCTCCTCTACAATAAAGCTTTTATAGTCATTCAGTATGTATTTTCAATGAACTGTTAAGGTAGCATTTGGGTTTTTTCTTTTAAGAATAGCAATCTGAATTCTATTCTCTATAGAGCTAAATAAGCTTATATAAAATATCTTTTATAGAAAAATGTTTTGGGAAAATAAGTCAAACTTAAAATGGTGATTTTATTTGGAAATGGAATTAGAAGGCAATAAAGGATGTTTACTTTGTACTACATGTGGTTTTTCATTGGGATAATTATTTTCAAATAAATATATTTATATATTTTGTAAGATAAAAAAGAAAACTTCAGAACATAGAATGTGCACACAGAACTCTATCAAATTATTTTAAATTCTATTTTCACATTGTAGTTACTTTTAATCGAAAATTTAATTTAATTAAAAATTAAAACTGAATATACTCTGAATACAGCTTTCTCCTTAAGAGTTAAGAGGAGAAGAGAGTCCTGATATAAATGTGAGCCTCAAATGACTAGGTTTTGAAAGGTTTTTAATCATGAGAAAAATAAGTGACTGTGTTTTGCCATCAGTTATTAACTCTTTATATTCTAAATAACAATTAAAATGTTACATATTTTATTTTCCATGTTGTACATATCCTGACTGAGTCATGTGGATCCATTCTTTGTAAAATATCATTTAAAAAGATTTCTTGAAAATTGCCTTCCTTCCCTTTTATATATTTATCAAATATAGACTTATAGTGTATCCAGTGTCTATAGGCATTCAGTGTTCCAAAAATATATAGTGTGTCTGAAAAGTCTGGTCCCATAGGATGAACTTATTTTTCAGCAGTATGTTATATTTTCAGTTGAAATGTTCAATATATTTTTCTTAAACTTCCATGCACTTTTGGGGTGTGTTTATTGTTCTTTTTTAGATTAACAATTGGACCATTGCTTTAAATTTAGAGATACTTTACTTATAATAGCAAATGTAATAGCAAATTTATCCTATGTTTCCAAATGTTTTGTTCACTTGTTCATTGCTAGGTTATATTTTTATCTTGATCAAAATGGTTATTTTCTAGAAGATTTTTTCCTTGGCCCTTGAATGTCTTCCGTGTGAACTTGAGTGGCTGGCGTGTGTGCACATGTACACTTTCGTACATGTCTGTGACGTGTGCTACAAGACACTGCTGTGTAGTTCACATGTAGTTTGAAGATAATTGTTCATAGTCCTATTTCCTCCTCCAGTTTTTCTCACAGCATGACTTGTTTTTTTAGATTACTTTTATTTCATGTGATTGAAATTTTTGACTTTTTCTTTAGGTGCAACGAGGGACGTGTTGGTAGACATTGTGAATGTAGCACAGATGAAGTTAGCAGTGAAGATATGGATGCTTACTGCAGGAAGGAAAACAGTTCAGAAATCTGCAGTAACAATGGGGAATGTGTCTGCGGACAGTGTGTTTGCAGGAAAAGGGATAATACAAATGAAATTTATTCTGGCAAATTCTGCGAGTGTGATAATTTCAATTGCGATAGATCCAATGGCTTGATTTGTGGAGGTGAGCAAAGGGTCTGAAAATGGTTGTAAGATGTGACCCATCTAATATAATAACAATGTTACGAGTTTGATGAATAAATAGAAAAAGAACAGTTCCACATTGTTGCTTATTTCTACTATTAAATCAATGCTGTGATTTTATATTTTTCCCATTGTTAAGAGAAAGGATGTTTTTCATTTCAGGAAATGGTGTTTGCAAGTGCCGTGTGTGTGAGTGCAACCCCAACTACACTGGCAGTGCTTGTGACTGCTCTTTGGATACGACCTCATGCCTGGCCATCAACGGGCAAATCTGCAATGGCCGCGGCATCTGTGAGTGTGGTGCCTGCAAGTGTACAGACCCAAAGTTTCAGGGGCCAACCTGTGAGATGTGTCAGACCTGCCTTGGCGTCTGTGCAGAGCATAAGTGAGTGCTCCTGCTTGCCCAAATTAGCTGACATTTATCGTCTGCTGACCTACCAGCACAGTGCTGATATTAGGGTATACTGTAAAGAAAGTATCAGCCACACTGAAGCCCACTCTGAATCTTAAAAATTCTTTCTCAGTAGCTAGAGTTTGTCACATGATACTGAAATGTGTTGTGTGAAAGTTGGTACCACTATTGTGTGTGCATTTGCTATAGAATTGAATCTATGTGATAACCTTTGTTAAATTAGTATTACCAATTGCTTAATTACCATCTTTTGACTAAACTAAGCAAAATAGAAAGTTTTTCCCCTTGAATTATTATTGTACCAACAATACATAAATTACTTGGGTTTTATGTTATATATTTATAATACCTGACAGGGCTATTTTACTACTTTATTTTACTATTGTATTTCTTTTTTTGGGATTTTTAGTTTGATCTGTAATAATCTCATTTCACTTGGGAAAATAGCATCTTTATATTTAGTTTCCCATCTAGGAATGTTGTGGGCCACTCCATTTATTCAAATCTTCTTTCATAGCTCTTGGTTTAATTTGGTCAGATTTTTAGTCTAGCATATGAAATAACTTTTAAGCAAATATTTATTTTAAATGATAAATTTTAATTGTACCATCTGTGTTTTGACAGAGAATGTGTTCAGTGCAGAGCCTTCAATAAAGGAGAAAAGAAAGACACATGTGCACAGGAATGCTCACATTTCAACATTACAAAGGTTGAAAATCGGGACAAATTACCCCAGCCAGGCCAGGTTGATCCTCTGTCCCATTGTAAGGAGAAGGATGTTGATGATTGCTGGTTTTATTTCACATATTCCGTGAATGGGAACAATGAGGCCATTGTTCACGTTGTGGAGACACCAGGTAGAAATCTGATCATTTCAAAATTTTGTTCATTTTCTCTATGTCTTGTTTCTGCTGCTTAGGCCTATTGGGAGTTTCCCCAGTAATTCAGGAATGGCCTTAAGGTGGATTATTTTAGGTTCAAGTTAGGACCTTTTTAATTTCTGAAAGCTTGAAGTAGTATTTCATTTACTATATGAGAAATAAGGAAAAGGGAAAGCAAGCTTTAACTTTTATGAGTGAAGAGTTTGCAGAGTAAATGCAGTAATCCGCACAGAGCCCTTAGCACACAGTGCCTGACTCTTGGGTACTTGATGAGAGTTACAGCATTACTCATGATACTTAAATTTGAGCTTGACTTAGGTGGGACACTGGGAATGTTAATTTGTTAGAGGATATAAAAAGTGAATTTGTTCAGCTTCTCAGAAGATGAAACATTTTTTTATCTTGGAATCTAGGCTCTTTTTTTGTAATCTTTGAAATTTTCTACATTTGTGTACATGTTTTTGTGGGAATGCAAGTTTTCATTTTTCTCGTGTAAATATTAGGAATGGATTTGGGGGGCATATGGTAAACATGTTAACTTCATAAACAGCTGAACTTTTTTTAAAAGTCTGTGTGCTGTTTTGCATTGTCAGGTACGTGTTTTTGCAAATACCATCTCTCGGTCTTTTCATTTTCTTAACAGTGTTTTTTAAAGACCAGAAGCTTTAATTCTGGTGAACTGTAGTTTACCAAGTTTTTCTTTTATGGATCTTGCTTTTCTGTGGTATTTAAGAACTCTTTGCCTAACTCAAGTTCATAAGGATTTTTCTTCTGTGTTTTAGAGTTCCTTCTTTTCCATTTAGATCTATAACGCATTTTTAGTTAATCTTAGTATACAGAATAAGGTTCACTTTTTTCCAGGTGGATGTTCAGTAGTAGTTCAGCACCATTAGTTGAAAGACTGATCTTTCTCCACCTTTGCTGAAAATCAGAAGACCTTAATATGTGTGGGCCTATTTTGAGTCTTTAGTCTATTTCATTAATCTATGCATCTGTCATTAGCCAATACCACATTGTCTCAATTACTGTTGCTTTAGAGCTAGTCTTGAAATCTGGTAATATAAAATGTCCATATTAGTTCTTTTCCAAAAGTGTTTTAAAAATACTTTCCTACTTTTCTGCCTGCTGACACCTACAAAAGTCCTGCCAGGATTGTGACTGGAATTGCATTGTGGTTATAGGTCAAACTGAAAAGAATTGATGACAATATTGAGTCTTCCAGTCCACGAACATGGAATATCTCTCCATTTATTAAGTTCTTTGCTTTCTTTCATCAGTGTTTAGTAATTTTTAGCATGAAAATCTTGCACATATTTATTAGATTTATACACAACTATTTCATGATTCTTGTTGCAATTGTAGAGGATAATATATTTTACATTTCAATTTCCAGTATGTAGAAATAAATTTCTGTATAATACATAGAAATACATAATGATATTTTTTGTATCTTGTGTTGTCCTGTGGTTTTGTAAACTCATTTGTTAGTTCTAGCATCTTTTTTATAGATCCTTTGGGATAGTGTACATTCACTTATCTTGGGTTTTTATTCCTATGTTTTCTTAATGAGGGACTGTCTGGCTCTGGATAATTTTGGCTGCCCTTTGCACTTATTAATCCCTTGTATACTCATTCTTTCCTTCTTCCTTTACAGAATGCCCCACTGGTCCAGACATCATTCCAATTGTAGCTGGTGTGGTTGCTGGAATTGTTCTTATTGGCCTTGCATTGCTGCTCATTTGGAAGCTTTTAATGATAATTCATGACAGAAGGGAATTTGCCAAATTTGAAAAGGAAAAGATGAATGCCAAATGGGACACGGTAAGTTGCAAAACATCTAAAAAGTAAGATGGCTCATAAAGTAAATGTGATACTTGTAAGACTTGCTTATTAACTGTAGAACTGATTATGAGAGTCCTCTTTAAATATTTTATTCCCCCAGAAGTTCATTATTCACAGAACTTGTATATTATAAAAACAGAAATATGTTAAATATATCCCAATAAAACAAAACAGTATAAGTATCTTCTTGTTACTGTGAACATTTTGATCCTTAATAATTTTGATCCTTATTAAATCTGCTCTTCTGCTCTTCGTCTCATGTAAAATAGACTCCTCAGTAATGCTAGTGTGTAGTGAGCTATTCAGTGGAAAGCTTCTCCCTCTCTCTTTTTCCAACAAAGAACCTGAGAAGTAGCCAGACTCAGAAGGCTGCATATACTGCATGAGGCTATACATACTGAATGATTCCATTTGTATGACATTGTAGAAAAGGCAAAAAAAACTCTTGGGGCAGAAATGTGATCACTGGTTCCCAGAGGCTGGGGTTGGGAGGCAAGGGACATGAGGGATCTTCTTGATTGTGGGGGGATGTTTATTCATTTCTGAATTCTGAACTCTGTACTTAAAAAGAGTATATTTGACTCTCTGCAAATTATAACTCAATAAACCCTGCTTTATAAGAAGTTTTAAAAGCTGTTAAGTGACTAAAATGTGTGCTGGCATTTGACCTAGCAGTCAGGGTGAGCTGGCCAGATGTTGGTTCTCACCTACTCATCTTTTGTTACAAGAAAGCGGTGGCAGTCTTTGGTATTTTAAAATTATAAATGAACTTCAGTTATTTGTATTTTGCAACAATTTGCTTGAGTCTTTTAAAAAATTAATTTCAGAAGTGTGAAAATAGTCAAATAGTAAAAAATTCTCTGTTATAGTGTTTAAACACTATACATGTCAATTTTTTTTTTCTGATGAAATCATTAGAAACTATTTCTTTTACTTTAGCAAGAAAATCCGATTTACAGGAGTCCTATTAATAATTTCAAGAATCCAAACTATGGACGTAAAGCTGGTCTCTAAGTTGCCGTTCGTATTTTCTTTCATTTTCTGTCTTTGCATGTGAACTTTTACCCTTTTTTACTGCACTGCGTGTCCTTTATCACTATAGCTTTTTTTTAAAAGTCTGGCTTTATTTATATGGCTATATTATGGCTTTTATTTTTGTGTGCTAATTTAGCATTTATAAGAGCTTCAAATAAGCTTAATGATAAAGACGAAGCAGCTGTGTTACAGTGAAAAGAGAATCTGCTATGTGGCCAGACAGACCTAGGATCACATCCCAGCTCTTCTGCTTAGTGAGTAGAACAGCAGAGAGTCACTGCACTTTCTGGGAGCTTTAGTATTTCATATCTTTAATAGGGAGTCAGAAATAATACATAGGTATGGTGTGGTTGTTTTTGGCGAATGAGCTACAGTGTATGATATCAGCCCATCAGTTATAATCCTCACTACAGTCCTAAGCCTTTAGATGGTATTATCTTTATATGACAAATTACTGTATGTAAGTTTTAGGGTGAAATAGTGGCAAGTGAATGTGAATCTAAATTGCAAATAGAAAAATTAATGTAACCTGGCATAACATTTGTATAATACACAGCTACAATGAAGTTTTATTAGTTCTAGAAATATTTTGAGATTCTTTAGTTCTTGATTGTAATTTGAAATGCCATTAAAGCAAGGAGACCTTTTATTTTTATATATTTGTATATATTTTCATGTTATTGAATGATTCTAATAGATCTAATGTTGAACTTGTTTTTAAAGATAACAGAAACTTTAAAGAGAAAAGTTCTAGTAGAGTTTTAAATAAATCTTAGTAGAAAATTCCCTAGTTGTAGTAAGACTTTTGATTATCCTATTCCTGAAGCCAGGGTAAACCATTTTGGTGAATGTATGTTTCACCTAGTTGACAAATTTACTTTATCTTTTTTGTCGATAGTGGACAGGATTCCTCTTTATATCTGAATTTTCATGAAGTGCTAGAAGCATATTTTAAAATAATCATATAAGCCCCTAAAAATCCCTGACTAAAAATAGGCTATGATTAGAACAAATTGTCCCAGTGATCAGAATTCTTCCCTTTACTTTTATTTTTATTTCACATATGAGAAAACTAAGGCACAGAAGGGTAAGCTTAACTTGACCAAGTTCACATGGCTAGTTAGTGGGAGAGTTCAGATTCTAACTGGCAGTTGGACCCCAGCCTCCATGTGCTTCTCCATACAATGTACTGATAACAGCTGTATCTTCTTCAGGAGACTCTCTCACCTGGTTAGGAAGCGGTAGCTTACTCTTTCTAGAAAATTACAGCTTTTGGATATCTGTTGTGACTTGGAGTAACACTGCTGTGTTGGGCAAACATTGTAATGGGAAATCACTATTACATAGAAACCAGCACTGCAGTTCTCTATATTTACTCTGTTAGGAGTGTACTTTATCAAGTAACAACAAACAGGATCTTAAAACAGAGGAATGTGTAATATTTTCATTATTTTTAAGAGATACAGGAAGTATTGATAACATTAGAAAACCATTAGTTGCCAGGTTTTTCATTTCTAAGCAGATATTAAGACTTTTGAAATGACAGAGTTAAATTTGATGGCAGAAGATTACAGTCAGGTTCATATAGGGTTGGTACATTTCATATTAGTGGGAGACCTGACACGTTTTTCTCTTTCTCACCTAATACTTTCTAGAAAGTATTTTTAGAAAGAAACTGAGTTGCTGGGATTTGTTTCTTTCTTTCCCTTTTTTTTTTGTGCAGGGGAGTTGGGGAGTGTCAAAAACAATTAAATACTGAAAATTTCATATAGCTACTTCTCATACAAGATACATTTCTATATGTCCTGTCAAAATTTGCTGTACATTAAATTGTACCTTGAAAGAAATTATCAGTAATTGATGGTGAAACAATGTTTACATTGTTAACTAAATTTTTGGCTGAAATGTTACTACTTCATCCAAAATAAGCATTTTGAATAGTTCAAGAAGCAAAAGTTTGATAAAAATTTATTTATTCTTTAGTGAAATACAGGGAAATTAATGGCTACAGGTCATTCTGCGATGTTTTCTCAAGAGAAAGTAAAATAGAAATAAACAAGAAATTAATGATGAGCATCAAGAAATTAAAATATGGCTTATAAAGAAAGCACTTTGTGATATGGGACTAAGTTTTATCAATCATATGTCATTAACATTTCGGATAATGAGCGGGCCCTGTAATTACTTCAGCATTAAGGCCATCGTGTAGGTACATTTAAAAAAGATCAATTTTACAATTGTTACAATGGATTGAAAGAATTGTCTATCCTCCCTGCTCTTACGCAGATTTAAATGTGGATTCCTAATCTCGCACAGTTGTGCATTGTGTCTAATATAGAGGTGATTGTTTAGCCACCATTATCAGCCATTCCAGAGCGAGCGAAAGGAGGACACCTGAGTAGAGAAGATTTCATTTCTGAACCAAATAACCCTGTTCTCTCGATTTCCGTAGGCTTTGCTTTCTGTTGGGATGAGAATTGCACTTTGAACAATGAAATCTAACTGAATTATTTTAGTTTACCTCCATTTAAAATGATGCCTAACACAGTTTAATTTTACCTCTAACCTTGCATGTTACATTTTTGTTTGGATGGACTTTGAAATAATAAATATAAATGTTTGTGTATATGCAAAGGCAGACTTTTCTCCAAAGGTAAGTTCTGCCATATAAATTGAACTCATCAATAACTTAGGTATTTTTTTTCTTCCTTTGTTTTCTGTTTTGTTTATTTTGTACCACCTTTATATTTGTTAAGTATTAAATATTAGATTTATTTAATGCATTGTTTTAAAGAAACTTAACAGTAATTTATTTTCCCAGTATATTTTAAGGAATGGTCAGTGCTGGCCTCATGTGCAGATCGGGAGGGTGGAAATAGAGTGTAACTTACTTGTGTTATACAGCCTATTAAAAATGTAGTTGCTAGGGTCCAGTTTCCTGTCTCCATTCTGAAATGTCTATTCTGTCTGTATAAATATACTAGCTCCAGTTGGGATTAGAGCTTAGAATATGGCATCCTGTATGATTTTTATCTTGCAGCTTATATAATGTTTATCTCTAAGGGATCCTGAGTGTTTCTGAAATGGAGTCAGGTTGTATTTTGTGGGGTGGACTAAGGCATATTATCATGTTGAGTTGTCTGCTGCTGAGCTGAAATGATAGTGGTGTATTTGTTGTCTGTCAGACCCAGGCCTTGTGTGATACTTTTCCCCAGTAATCTACCATCCACAGGGTAACGTTCAGTCTGTGTATGTGGCAGGACCTTTTGTGGCTTGGCTTTGTCTTCTTCTCGTTTCCTTTCCCTTCCCAACACCTCAAACTCTCACACAGCTCCCTTAAAAACTTCTGAAATGCATAGTTCTAGATAAAATGAGTCATTTTTTTTCCTACATTTTGACTTTTTGTACGTTTGTTTACCTTTATTTTATTTAGTTTCACTATGAAAATACCCCTAATCTTGTCAAAGTCAATCCTTTTATTATGCTGTTACAATCTTATGTACATAATTATACTTTGTACTGTATCAAAGTGCCTTAATTAATTTTCACATTTGCCAACCACCAAATTATGCCTCTGAGAGAACAGAAATCGTGGCAATAGAAGTCAGATCCCAATAATCTG